CATATATTATCAAGCCAACTACCTATCGGCGATAGTGTCTATTGTCTTATTACTAGACTACTTAAGCAGTCTTCTGGCTGTTGGGAAGTCTAGTTGCTAATACCCGCCCCGGGTATAATATCTTTCAAGAGTCCGTGTCTGGGCTCTTGTGGGCCCGTGGGCATTATATACAAGTTTCAACGCTTCATTTCACGGTCGATATACCCTTTTTTGCACACATTGGAGACTTTTTGGATGTTTGGAGAAAACAAGCGATGGTTTTAAGTTTATTCTCGCGATTAACGACGTATGCACACATGAATCAGAGAGTTTAGGGGGGGACTTCTTGTACGGTTGTTGAAAAAGCAGGAGATGGTGTGGTTTAGTCGATGGGATGATGCTCGGCCATCTCGGCTTATTATTATAAAAACACTTTTTTGATTAGACATATTTGATGGGTGTGATGAACGTTGTCGCACGCAAATATTGAAAAGAAATATGTGTCTGGTCGTCTTGATTGCCACAAGTACATCCTCATATTATAGCCATACTCTAATCTTACTATCCCCTGGGTATCATACAGGAAATGATATTATACAAACGCCATCAAGATGAGTTATGATCTAAGTATCCAAGCTAGGTAGTCTAACTCAACTGTCCATCTCCTTTTCTTTTTTACTCCTTAACCCATCCGGGTACCTCATCAGGATCGTAGTCTTCATATCTCCTTTCTCGATTTATTTGCCACACGTTGGGCCAGCCAGCAAGCACAGGGCTGCCCTTGGCTTTGGCACCGATGATTGCAAATCGTCCTTGCCCATGAGCGATAAACCCATGCATTAAACCCTGCTGAACAAGCGTTGCAACAGTCATCTCCACGTCCTCGAATGTGACCTCTGCGTTACCCCAGATCATACCCTCATTAGGCCGGAGAGATTTGGCCCCTCCGGGTGGCGGAGCTAGTGTAGATGTGGCTTCGGGATTTTGAGCATTGTTTTCGAGGGCTTTCATAAGGAGCGGGTTGACGCTTTGAGAACGACCAAGTGAGTTTGGACCCGCTGGAAGCCAACCTTCGAGACGGTGTTGAAGGTATATCCCGAGTGTGTGAAGGTCTGCAAGGTCAAGTGTCGCGGCTTTTCGGGATGATGCATCGGTTGGCGGGACGTATGTGAGGAGGAAAGTCTTTCTGCTTAGTGAGCGCCAGAGAAGAGGTCGTAGTCGGTTACCGAGGGTCAAAAGCAAGCCCTTGTCAAAGAGCCATGTCTCGTGTTGCGCAAGGTGGTGCTGGAATTGAATGAAGTTACCAGATCTGATAGCCTGGCAAATCGGAAAGAAAACAGGTGCCAGAGTCTGACATTCTGGACGTTGAAGCAATACTTGTGATGGGAAGCGTCCAAGAAGAATATTGCAGGGAATAAGATAGGTGAGGATGTTTGTCCGGTGAGAGACCAGCTGTGAAGGGGTTTGAAGATATGCTTCTTCAAGGCACAGTGCAGCCCGGAGGTAGTGATTGTTTGAGAAGTTGAAGCGGCCTAGGTAGTAGAGGAAGGTAACGCGCTGAGCAGCTGGGTAGAGAGACAGTGGCGGCGAGATGGTGGAAATGTTGACGAAGATCATTTTGGCGAGATGCGTTCTTCGGCACTTTCATCTGGTCAGCTGTCTATCATATAACGTATTGGGCTTTTACATACTGCAAAGAGAAGCTTGAGGACGAGATTGGCAAACATGTAAACGCCAACCTTTTTACCCTCTGGTTTCGCATAGCGACCACTGGATCGATCTGTGAGACATGTTGTGAAGATCTTCTGAATGATTTCTGCTGAGGATTCGGCGATGCTCTTATCCTCGTCTACGGCACGTAGACGACGCGCCAGGTCCGGGCGTTTGTTCAAAGACATTGTGAGACGAGCCAGCGTCTCTGAAAGGGACATGCTCGTCTTGAGTAGCATGGCGCCGTATGTAGGATGCGCAAAAGCTGTTGCACAAGAGCTATAGAAGACATTAGCTATTGTAACATCGCATCTGGTGTGGGAACTCATACTTGACAAGACCACTGAGCAATTGATGCGCGCCCAGCAAATCATCATAATTTACGTCGCGCCAAAAGGCCATATAATCCTTCATAAAGGCCACAAAGCCAGGCCACACCGTAGCCTGGCCTTCTGGAACGTCATCTTCTTGGGGCAATGTCCTTTCAACGATGTTGTCAAGACCCTGTTGGCGGAATTGAGATCGTAGCTCGGATGCGAGGTTGTGATATTGCTGAGGAGAATTGGGCTCTACCTGGAGCCAGGCGCGGAGCTCGTCGCCATTTTGAGCGCGGATGAAGTTACGAATCTGGGTGAGAAAGTCGAGGACTAGAGGCATCGCGATTGATGGTGGTGATTGAGGAAAGGAGAAAGATGGTGAAGAATGAGTTGAGAGGTCAGGTTGAGATGAGCCTCCAGGTAACTAAGGCCAGTGAGTGAGTGGAAAATAGTATGGCTCCACTGTCTCAGAGAACAGAGCAGCAAGAACATCCCCCATTGTTCTTCCTAAACACTCCCCAATTAGAACAGTATTATTATCAGTCGATAAACTCAAGTCTAGTGCCCAGAGATAAATCTATTTCCCCAGTGGACTAAGGATAACTATTATAATTATGTAAGATGAGGGCTCATCATGACAGCTTATCAGCAACATGGGATTGCAGGTGCTCATCATGTTACCCTGCACTCAGAGATCATGACAACTACTAAGCAGTTGGTCCTTATATATAATGACATATAGCAGGTAAAAAATACCAGCTGCACTGAAATGATCTTTCTTGCTGTTATTCAATTTTTATTTATTTTGCTTTGTTCCTCTACTATGAATCATAAATCCTCTATCGTTATATCTCATAACCCTTTTTATACAGACTCGACACGCTGGACAACCAGGGCAGTCGCAGCACCACCACCGTTGCAAATAGCAGCAACACCATACTCACCAGGCTTCAGCTGATGTAGCAGAGTTGTCAGGATTCGTGAACCAGAGCTACCAAGAGCATGACCCAGCGAGATAGCACCACCCAGAGGGTTAACCTTGGCGCCCTCCAGACCCAAGATCTTGGAGTTGGCCAAGATCACACTGGCGAAAGCCTCGTTGAACTCCCAGATGGCAACCTGGTCCTTGGTGATACCGGCACGCTCGAGAGCAATGGGGACAGCCTTGGCGGGAGCAATAGGGAAGTCGATGGGAGAAGTGGCGGCATCAGCATAACCGCAGATCTTGGCCAAGACACGGGAGCCAGAGCCGTACTGTTGGGCAATGGCCTTGCTTCCAAGAACAAGAGCACTAGCACCATCGTTAAGAGTCGATGAGTTGGCCGCGGTAACAGTGCCACTTCCGTCACGAACGAAAGCGGGCTTCAGGGTAGGGATCTTGTCGAACTTGACATCGGCGAATCCCTCATCAGTGTCGATAACAGTTTCGCCCTTTCGTGACTTGACGGTAACGGGAGCGATCTCCTCGGCAAAGGCCTTGTCAGCCCACGCCTTTTGCGCGTTGCGGTATGACTGAATAGCGTACTCGTCCTGCTGTTCTCGGGTGATCTTGTAGTTCTTGACAGTGTTCTCGGCGCAGTTGCCCATGTGGAATTGATCATAGACATCAGTCAGACCGTCCTTAATAAGACCATCCTCCATCTTAACATGGCCAAAAGCAGGAAGACCACTGGCGCGGGGCACGTAGTATGGGACCTGTGACATGTTCTCCATTCCGCCAGCGATCTGTGCCTCTGACAGTCCCAGCTGAATGTTCTGAGCAGCCAGGGCAACGGCTTTCAATCCAGAAGCGCAGACCTTGTTAATAGTGGTCGCCTCGATCTCCTTGGGTAGACCAGCGAAGATAGCGGCCTGGCGAGCGGGCGCTTGACCAACAGAGCCTTGAAGCACGTTGCCCATGTATACATCGGTGATCTTCTCGACGGGGACCTTTGACTTTTCCAGGGCGGACTTGATGGCGACAGCGCCGAGCTTAGGAGCTGATACTGACAGGAACGAGCCATTGAACTAGATAAATGTTAATACGCCGATATAAACACCAGTCGATTTAGAGACGCTGTACCTTTGCTGTAGGAGTTCGAGCGGCGCTCAGGATATAGGCGTCCTGGATCTCCTTGCGCAGAGCAGGCCGTGTAGAGAACTGTCGCGCTCCATTCACATGTCCAGCAAGCTGGGCCAGCCGGCCAGCGGATCTTAGTTGAGTAACAGACATTTTGATGTATATGGGGGGGTATCAAGGCGTAACTAGACAGGCAGAAGGGAGAGAAAGAAGAGGATGGGAATGGATTGTACTAATAATAAGAGAAGACGACCTCGGGTATCGTAGTAATATGGCAATATACATCCGCTTCGGTCCTCTTCGGCTTTCAGCGGGGGAGGGCCCGAGGTGGCGGCCACAAGCTCTCCCGTGCCGAGACTACAAATCCGGGGGAGTTTACAGGTGACGTCGAAGCTGGGGTACAAGTCAAACGGTGCCGTGGCCTCAAAGTCGGAAGTATCTTTTGTCAAATCTAGGGACGGACTCTTTCCACCGCTATCTATATCTCTGTCGTGCACTCTATTTCAATTTAGCAGCTTCTCCTTCATCGGAATTAGTTGTCGGTTCCGAAATCCCATAGTTTAGTTCCCAGAGCGGCCTTCGTCCCCCGCGACCATGTGAAAGCTCCGGGTAGTGGGGGATATAAAATAAGCATTTTGACAGTTAGTATATAATTATGCAATCAATTTTGTCCAAAGAAAATTCCCCACTAAGACTAGAAAGAGAATTTGTGCTTATAAAGCAAATCAAACACCATTCAAGTCTTTATAGGCTCCAGGGATGCCCTCAAAAGTTGTTGCGGCTCGGCCGTGTCACGTGCGGCATTCTCGGTGAGAAGGTGAGCCGAACGCTGGGTGGACCGCTCACCGTACATTGATAGGCCAGACCGATAAGCATGCTTGATTGGTAGATTGTATCACCTAACTCCTCCGCTGTGGAATCCGAATCATCGACCAGCCTGTCCATGACCAATCTCCATCTCCGCTCATCATTTTGCACCGCCAAATCTTGAGACAGTGAATCGTGCATGTAAATAGTTTCACGCTTGGTAGAAATATCAGTCAAGCGCAGGACTCACGTCACGATTTCTCTCTTTCAACAGCACTCAACTTCTATCCTTACATCCGTTCTCGCCTTCGGACCCAGTCGCTATCATGTCTACCGCTGCTCGTCGCCGTCTCATGCGAGACTTCAAGGTTCGCCATTTTTAACGGACACCTCCAAATCAAACCTCGCTGACTCCCACGATAGCGCATGCAAACCGACCCCCCCGCTGGCGTCTCTGCTTCACCTGTACCAGACAATGTCATGACCTGGTTCGTACGCCCTCGTCGACATCGCCGATCCTGAACACAATACTCATCATACGTCTTGTAGGAACGCCGTCATCATCGGCCCCGCAGACACTCCGTTTGAAGATGGCACCTTTCGACTTGTGATGCAGTTCGAAGAGCAATATCCCAACAAGCCTCCCCAAGTCAAGTTCATCAGCCAGATGTTCCACCCCAACGTCTACGCCACCGGAGAGCTTTGTCTCGACATTCTGCAAAATCGATGGAGTCCTACGTATGATGTCGCTGCTGTCTTGACCAGTATCCAAAGGTGAGCAGAACCAACAGCCGGAGTACGTGCATGTGCTGATATTCAATAGTTTACTTAACGATCCTAACACTGGTTCACCTGCGAACGTCGAAGCCTCCAACCTATACAAGGACAACCGAAAGGAATACACCAAGCGTGTCAGAGAGACAGTGGAGAAGAGCTGGGAAGACTGAACGGCCGAACTCAAAAAGGACAGAGAACGGTATGCCAACGTCGACCTGTCCAGCAAGGCACAGATCAGGTTGCTCAAACAGTGAAAGTGCTCTGCAGCCCAAAGTTGCAAGCATTTATGTAAATGGCGTTTTGGGTGCGAGGAGTTTGAACTGACTAAACTGCATTCGAGGCGTTGCAAGCGTCCAGGAAGCCCCGGGAACGTTAGCTTATGATATCACGAGGGTTCATCATGAAGAGGAGTTTAATGTTTCTTGTAGCGCCTTTGTTTATTGCCCGAGAATGACTCTGAGTCAAGTGAACTATGCTTGTTAATGATGTGGAATGTGTCAAACAGTGGGGATGCATTATGTGTCCTTGCTTGTCAGGAATGGTGACATGTATATGACTCTTATCATTAGGTTTCATGTGACACTTTGCCCAAGGAAGCTTGTTATCGTTGCATGAACTTAATGTCCTCCTTTTGTAAAATACGCATTGCGCTCAACGGACAATTTAATGCAGTTAATATTGGATTGAATGCTTGAGGCTAATGATTGGCCATTTACCATAATAGGTAGTGTGTTGACTACTGACAGCACCAGTGATGAATCCTCCACGCAGCAACCCGATACCTGATATCTGTAAGCCAAAGACCCCGGCAAATCTCCAAATTGCGTCGGTCGAGTGAAACAGGACCAACAATCTGGGCCTGAACCTCAAAGTTCAACGTTCTTTTTGGGCACATCACTCCGGGAGGCCTAATCTCTAAGGGGTAAAAAAACCAAAACCTCTAAAGAGTCCCCTAAATTATAGGACACCACCCCCCTGAGCAGCCCTCACACTTGAGGTGATTCCCCGTTTCGGCCCCTCTTGGCGCGCGTCTCTCTGTGTCTGACCTATCACTTTTCAGACCCGTTCTCCAACAAATGCCCACCGCCTCTGGTTGCCAACAACACACCTGGACGTTAGGTTGGCATTCATTTGTTGTTGTCGTCGATACTTTTTATTGCTGATCGCACGGCAAACCACACCTAAACAACATTATCGTGCATATTATTATATACATACAACGTACGCCCTGCTAGCGAATCACGAAACCCTGCTTGCATCTTGGCTCTGCCTTGATCTGCATCCGCGACTCGGCCTTTGCTCAGAGCTATCTCCTTTTATTGAAGTCCAAACATCCCTTTATCCTCGTCTCTCTTTGTTTGAGGTCCCGTCGTCGTTCCCCCTCCTCTCGCCGCCATTTGTGGCTCATTGCAACAAAATTGCGGCCCGCATCTTCTGCGACCCCCCTCACCCCCCCCTGAAGGTTCGCTTCAGAGCAACCAACGATCGAGCCCGACTTTTTTCTTTCTCTCGGGACGACAGCACCGCGGCCGATGATAACGTTTGTTGCGTGACACACAGCCTGCGTTCAACATGTCGTCCGCAAATAGTATCAAGGTCGTGGCCAGGTTTCGACCTCAGAACAAGGTCGAGCTTGAGTCGGGCGGAAAGCCCATCGTATCTTTCGATGGCGAGGAGACCTGTACCCTCGACGTATGTTGTGCCATTTGCGTTGCGTTACTGTGAACAGTAACATACGGTGAGACCTCACAGCTAACATGTTCGGCAGTCCAAGGAGGCGCAGGGTAGCTTCACCTTTGACCGAGTCTTTGATATGGGATGTAAACAACAAGACATCTTCGACTTTTCGATTCGATCTACCGTCGACGATATTCTCAATGGATACAACGGAACCGTCTTCGCTTACGGCCAGACCGGTGCCGGTAAGTCTTATACCATGATGGGCACCAACATCGACGACGATGAAGGTCGAGGTATTATTCCCCGTATCGTCGAGCAGATCTTTGCCAGCATTATGTCGAGTCCCGGCACGATCGAGTACACGGTCCGCGTCAGTTATATGGAAATCTACATGGAGAGAATTCGAGATCTGCTTGCACCGCAGAACGACAACTTGCCCGTCCACGAAGAGAAGAACCGAGGTGTATATGTTAAAGGTCTTTTGGAAATCTACGTCTCGAGTGTTCAAGAAGTGTACGAAGTCATGAGGAGAGGTGGAAATGCCCGAGCAGTCGCCGCCACGAACATGAACCAGGAGTCCTCACGATCCCACTCCATCTTTGTTATCACCATCACACAAAAGAATGTCGAAACCGGCTCAGCAAAAAGCGGACAGCTGTTCCTTGTCGATTTGGCCGGTAGTGAAAAAGTTGGCAAGACCGGTGCCAGTGGACAGACTCTGGAGGAAGCCAAAAAGATCAACAAGAGTTTGAGTGCCCTGGGAATGGTCATCAACGCCTTGACCGATGGCAAATCCTCACATATTCCTTACCGAGACTCCAAATTGACCCGTATCTTGCAAGAATCTCTCGGTGGTAACAGTCGGACGACCCTTATCATCAACTGTTCGCCCAGTAGTTACAACGATGCCGAAACATTGGGTACACTAAGATTCGGTATGCGAGCCAAGTCGATCAAGAACAAGGCCAAGGTCAACGCCGAGCTGAGTCCTGCCGAACTCAAATCCCTTCTCAAGAAAGCACAAGGACAGGTTACGAACTTCGAGAGCTACATCTCCTCCCTCGAGGGCGAAATCCAGATGTGGCGTGCTGGTGAAGCTGTCCCCAAGGAGAGATGGGCCACACCTTTGGCTATCGACGCCGTTGCTAGAACTAAGGCTGATGCCAGGACATCGACACGACCATCCACTCCTTCATTAATAGCAGACAGCCGATCAGAAACACCTGCGATATCCGAACGAGCTGGCACTCCCAGCCTACCGCTTGACAAGGACGAGAGGGAGGAGTTCCTACGACGAGAGAACGAACTGCAGGACCAGATCTCGGAGAAGGAGTCTCAAGCTGCATCGGCTGAGAAGCAGCTGCGGGAGACCAAGGAGGAGCTGGCGTACCTCAAGGATCACGACAGCAAAGTCGGCAAGGAGAACGAGAAGCTCACGACCGAGGTTAACGAATTCAAGATGCAACTGGAGAGGCTCACATTCGAGAGCAAGGAAGCTCAGATCACAATGGACGCTTTGAAAGAGGCTAACTCGGAACTCACCACCGAACTCGACGAGGTGAAACAGCAGCTCCTTGACGTCAAGATGAGCGCCAAGGAGAGTGGTGCTGCTCTCGACGAGAAGGAGAAGAGGAAGGCTGAGAAGATGGCCAAGATGATGGCTGGCTTCGACTTGGGTGGCGATGTGTTTAGCGAGAATGAGCGCCATATCGCTGAGACGATCGAGAAAGTCGACTCGCTTCATGACCTCAGTGCAACTGGCGACAACATCGCACCCGATGAGTTTAAGGCACTCAAGGCTCGATTGGTGGAGACCCAGGGCATCGTTCGACAAGCAGAGCTTTCCATGTACAGCACTTCTTCAAGCGAGTCTGATTCAAGGAGGAGGCAAGAACTTGAAGCCCGTCTTGAGGCTGTCCAGGCCGAGTACGAGGAGATTCTTACCCGTAACTTGGGCCCCGAAGATATCGAGGAGGTCAAGGCCCGACTTGAGAACGCTTTTGCCAACCGCCAGACTGCTCAGTCGCAGTTTGTCGAAGAGTTGAAGGAGGACATTGCTCAGAAGGCTGCTGAGAACACGAGAATGAAGACCCTTATTGATGATCTTCAACAGCGCGTTAAGGCAGGCGCCACTGCGCCAATGGCTAACGGCAAGACGATCCAGCAACAGATCGCCGAGTTTGACGTCATGAAGAAGAGTCTCATGCGCGACCTTCAGAACCGATGCGAACGAGTTGTCGAGCTCGAGATTTCCCTTGACGAGACCCGAGAGCAATATAACAACGTCCTCCGATCGTCCAACAACAGGGCGCAACAGAAGAAGATGGCGTTCCTCGAGAGGAACCTGGAGCAACTCACCCAGGTTCAGCGCCAGTTGGTCGAGCAGAACTCTGCTCTCAAGAAGGAGGTTGCTATCGCTGAGCGCAAGCTGATTGCTCGAAATGAGCGTATCCAGAGCCTAGAGAGCCTGCTACAGGATAGTCAGGAGAAGATGGCCGCTGCGAACCACAAGTACGTATCCCTGAATGACACTCCTTTCTAATGAACTTGACTAACAAATTATCCAGGTTCGAGGTTCAACTTGCCGCTGTCAAGGAGCGACTCGAGCTGGCCAAGGCTGGCAGCACTCGTGGTCTTAACTCGCCTGGTGGCTTTAGCTTTGCCAACGCCGGCAGCAGGATCGCCAAGCCTCTTCGAGGAGGCGGCGGTGGCAACGATGCTCCCAGCATTCCCACGATCCAGAACCTTCAGGGCCAAAGCGAAGGCAACACCAGCAGTGGTAGCAGCAGCAAGCGTGCCAGTTGGTTCTTCACAAAGTCATAGACACATAATGAGGAAAAGTTAAATAAAAGAAAAAAGAGCTCGCTGCTTTTTTCCTTATGGACACGGCGTTGCGAGCAGATCTGTTAGACACAAACATTCCTCCTTTTCATACCCCCCCCCTTTTTCCATTCAACGATGCCCCCGTTCGACAAAGCTTTCTAAATGGTTTCTCTCTTCTCTTCTGCTGCTTTCTACTTTGTCCCCGATTTCTGTTTTTGTCTTTTTTCTGCTTCTACTATACAGAAGGCGATAGAGGATGGGGCGGCTACGATGATTTGGATTTATGACAGGTATCGCGATGGGACCATGGTAGGATGGATGGATTGTTATATGGCTGGCGCTTTGGGCGCGAAAGATGAGACGAGATGAGACGAGATGAGACGAGATGAGACGAGATGAGTCGAAGGAGAGAGGATAGGAGATGAGACAAATATCAGCAGCAGTGGAGGAAGCTTGCATGAGTCTTGTCACGACCACATAGCTAAAGGCACGAAGTTTAAGAGAGTCAATGAATTGATTGAATTTCTAACAAACATTTATTGTATTTTTTGCTTATATCAAAGAGCTATAACAGAGTGGTATTCTTGACCGAAAGCTTTACAATCTAAACCATTTACATGCCTTTGCTGACAAGGACATTAGGCAGTTAACCAAAGGGGATATCATCAGGTGACAAGTCGTAGAAAGCGCTGATCATTCGTTTACATCTTGATGTCCTTGTTGTCATCACCATTGTCAGTTCCCATGGCAGCCAAGAGGATAACCTGAGGGATGATAACGGCGAAAATGACACAGAGGGCAGCGAAGGTGACAGCGACGATCTTGACGCTGAGCATGACAATACGGCGCCAAGCAGACTTGGAGAAGCTGGACCAGGCGTCGCGAACGGTAGCATAGCCGAGGCCACCAACAACAACGGGCTCGATACGACCGTTGAAAGAGCGGTCGAAAGGAATGATGGTGTCGGCGTCAGCGGGGAGAAGAGAGGCCTGCACTCGAACGAGAACAACGTAGGCGGGAATCTGAACAGCAACTTGGAGGAGGACAGCGACGAGCAGGATGCCGAAAACGCTGCCAAGACCCTGAAGCTGAGGAATCTCAGTAGTCTGGTCGCCGCCAAACAGGTAGAGAACACCGAAGGTGCCAAGGTTGACGATCTGAGAGGCAGCCCAGAAGATGAGAGTAGGTCTCCAGGTGGCGGCGAAGGTGGTCTTGAAAGGAGGGAGACGGCTCCAGAACTTGAGAGGAGAAGGAGGCGTGATGACGATGTGAACCCAGGCGGTGCTGAGCTGAACGCAGACGAGAGAACCGATCAAGTTGGACAGAACGAAAGAATAAGGAATGACAGTATAGGTGATGCCGTTGATAAGTGCCGTGACGATAGCCTGGGCGATGAAGCAGGGCAGACCACGGAAGAGGGCGCGGAAACCACCAGTTGATCGGAGTAGGCGCCAGGTAGCTCGGAAAGATGAAGTAACGGGACGGCCCTGGCCAGCGACGGGAACGGAAGATGTAGAAGCGGGCTTGGGCATGTCATCGTTGGCGAGAGGCTCGACGGGGAGAGGTTCGTAAGCGGGAGGCTTCTCATCTTCGACGATGGCGAGAACGGGGAAGACTTTCTCGAAGGTGTAGTTGATCTAGACATGTATTAGCGCGCAAAGATAAACATCAGTAAAGGTAGTACTTACGAGAATGAAGACAGGGAGGAAGAGGATGAAGTTGGCGAGGAACACGAATCTCGACCAGTCGGGGAGCTGCTGAAGCTCATAGCCAAGATCAGGCTTTGGCATGTTATCGCGCCGCATAAGCAGCGATCCAGCGGAAGACAGCATATTGAAGTTTACGATATAAGAAAAAAGAGTAGAAAAAGTAGTTTGTTTTGATAAAAGGAAGAAAAAAAGAAGATGGTGAAGAATATCCTCGTGAGCTGAGGTGAGGTGTTGGATGGAGGAGGGCGGTTTAATGGGATGTCGAAAAGTGGCTCTGATGGGGACTTTATCAGTTATGTCCGGGCAGATCGCGCACTGAAACTAGGCACCAGACCCCGATTTAGTGGATGGCAATGACGGGACAGTTACAGGGGGCCAGGGGGAGGGGCGAATTGCACAGCCTCAAGGCGCATTGATTGATCTACGTATGTTCTGTGCAAACAACTACTCAAGTATGGAAGGATACCTTAAAGGCGATTAATAGTATTTTAAGAAATGCACCTTTGGATTTATAGATTCTACAATATACTCAAACGATTTGATCAAAATGGTTTGGCCATGTATCCTCACCGTGAAGTCGGTGATTACCGTATTCGGCTGAAGGATCAAACTGAGGTGCGTAGGACTTTGATACAGTTTGTATACACGTAATCAGCCTCAAACTCATGCCAAACGTAAGCTTTTGATTGGCGCTGATTTGTTACGAGCTGTTTTCACCTATGCAACTTGCACTTGATCATTCTTGTGAATTTACATTCTATTCATGCCCGAGAGTTCCGGTATTTACATGGCGTTTACGAGGCAGATTGGCTTTAATACCCTGGTGATCCCTAGAGGATTGTGCTTCTGGACTAACGGTTGAGTTTATCTGAAACTGTTCGTGTTGGCTCGTGCTATTGCTTGGCTACGTCGGCTTGGTATATTCGTTTTACGCTGCATGTCGACCTCAAATGGCCTCTATTTATTACTGTATTCATTCGTGGACATGGGTTAAATGAGGTGCATGCCCCGCAATCATGACCTCCCATTGCTTGCAGGGGCTGTCCGACGTCACTGGCCACATTCAGTGAAGAAAGCCCCTCTATTCTACTCAACCTCATAAAGCTCTAGACTAGCTCGAGCTCCATCAGCCGGAACAACTAGAGCCACCATAACTTCACCCCGAATACCCTCAAACATTCAAGAATGCCCGCCCCTGAGATACCGAATCTTCTCAATTCTCTCCGCAGCGCACGCGGAGGTAGAGGCCGTGGTAGAGGCAGAGGAGGTCACGGCTCATCAGCTCTTACTCACGATGCTACCATTCAAGGCACAGATACTGATGCTTCGGTGTCGAGGCTGAGCGCTGTTGATCTGGGATATCTTTATGATCCGTATGCTCAGCACTTTGTACAGAGTGGCAATGGGCCGGTGGCAAGACGACTTCCTATCATTAATCGAGGTGTGCTAGAGAGCATCGTCATGGCCCCCAAATTATACTCACACCTTGTATAGGAACATATACCCGCACAATCTCTCTGGACACCCTTATCGAGTCGTTTCTAGACGGTGGTCAAGACAGTGAACAAGGCGCAGCACCAAAGCAGATTGTATCATTGGGGGCTGGTACTGATACACGACCTTTTCGACTATTTGTTTCAGAATCGCGTCCTGGATTGATATATCATGAGCTCGATTTCGAAGTCGTTACTTCAAAGAAATTACGGACAGTACAAGCGACGCCTACGCTGAGAAATATCTTGAAAGATGCTACTCAAGTGACTGAACACTCCTGGTCAGCTAAACCTTCTGAGTGCGAATACTACTGCCATGGCCAAGACTTGAGAGGTTTCTCACAATCAGAAACACCAAAAGAGGATGATGGGCCAGAAACAACGGCGGAAGAAAACCCCGAGATCTCTCTTCCTGGTCTACGAACCGATATCCCAACACTACTTCTCTCAGAGTGCTGTCTCTGCTATCTCACCGTCACCGAAGCCTCAGATGTGATAGACTTCTTCAGCTCAAGAATACCCAACCTCGCCACCATCATCTACGAACCTATCCGTCCAGACGACGCCTTTGGTAAGATGATGGTGTCAAACCTAGCAGCACGTCGCATTCAAATGCCGACTCTTCAGATGTACCCTACACCAGAAGACCAACGGGCACGGATGAGCAAAGCTGGATTTGACAAGGTGTATCATATGACGATTGAGGATATCTGGCAGAATTGGGTATCGTCGGATGAAAAGCGGCGTGTAGATTCGCTAGAGGGGTTGGATGAGGTGGAGGAGTGGAAGTTATTGGCGGCGCATTACATCGTTGTCTGGGCTTCAAAAGGGAACGGGTTTGAAAGTTGGGATAGCATAAGAGGTGCAGCTTGATTCTATGAAACAGATGATGTGATTGATGATCCAGAACATGATGGTTGCTCTGCAGTTGACTCATGATTGTGTACAACCCGTATGAACTGGTTCGTGACAGAGCCAGGTTACACAGGCACAGCCGAGATAATTGCGAAACATGTTCAACAAATCAAATACGTGATCAAGAGTTAAAGCGACTCATTTCTTAAATTAATATTGTATGTGTCCTGTCCATATTAAGATCTGTAACTATCATGACTTTCTTGGGCGTAGGAACAACATATTTCCTATTTGAGTTTAGCCCCGTCCCTGCTGAACCTCATCCCCGACAAGTCACTTTCCATCCTCAGGCAAGCCAAAATCAACCTTTGAATCACCATATGAGAACACACATTCATATACAACTTATCCAACGACTTGGAAATCGATTCTCGAATTATTATCGCAGTCGCATACATTATCGCTACGAGCAGGATCAACTTCACAGATAATAGACCGTTATTCTCAGAGCATCCAGGTATTGCGCCTCTCACCTTTCAAACCTCATCTTACTCGGTACCTCTTAATCTTTCATTGCTTCAAAACTAACTTAAATATGCAGATAAAATATCAATCTTGGATAATCAGACTATCAAATTCCTCTCAGGCGCACAATTAGAACCCTTCGCATCTCATCTCACAACGCGACAAGATGGCCGAATCAAGAGATAGCAAGTCCTACAAATATCGCCAGGAGATCAGTCAAATGATGTATGTCTCCGGCGAAACCGCAGAACCACCCGTCGAAACAACAAGTATCATCGAAGATATCGTCCGTCAACAAGTCATCGAACTCGTACGCCCTCCCTTCCTCCTCTCTCATCTCACCTCATACTAACCCTCACAGCTCCGAAACTGCACCGAACTCGCTTCGCGTCGCGGTTCAAAATCCATCAGCATCAACGATCTCATCTTCCAGATTCGTCATGACCAAGCAAAAGTCTCACGTCTGCGCACGTTCCTCTCGTGGAAGGACGTGCGGAAGAACGTCAAGGATTCTGATGACAAGGGCGCTGATGCCGATATCGCTGCTGGTGATGACCCTGTGGCTGCGGGTGATAACACAACGGATGAAGCAGCCAAGAAGAACAAAAAGGCTAAAGTCGGCTTACCTTGGGAGCCTTCGTCGTACTATAATGTCGAAGTACCTGAACGTGAGGAGGAAGAGGATGAAGAGGAGGAGGAGATGAACTACATCACACTACAACGTCTGCGCAAAGCAGATGAGCGCACTAAAGCCATGACGAAGGAGGAGTACGTTACATGGTCTGAATACCGTCAAGCATCATTCACCTACCGCAAAGGCAAGCGATTCCGCGAGTGGGCAGGTTTCGGTATCGTGACAGACAGCAAACCCTCTGACGATATTGTCGATATTCTCGGCTTTCTCACCTTCGAAATGGTCCAGACCCTCACCGAGATGGCGCTCAAGGTCAAGGAGCAGGAAGACCTAGTGCGTGCTCGGGACGGAGGAGATAATGTTGGTAATGCAAAGAAGCGGAAGCATGAGGGTGCCTTATTCGATTTTCCTAGTGAGGGAAAGACGCCTATCGAGCCTCGTCATGTTCAAGAAGGATCACGGAGATTGCAGCAGAGGCCGAAGAAGTCGAGAGCCATGCTCAACGGCACCAGAATTGCACAACACACGCCACTCAACATCTTCTAGTGATGAATATGTGCGACATTCACGAGTTTATTGTATGGCAAGGCGTTAGATTAATAACATCATCAATGTTAGGGTTGTTTCGTGGGAAAGGCGCATGGAAAGGGTTACGAATGTTTATGTTTATTAAGGTATTAATTGATAGACCGGTCCCAACAACTCGTCGGCTAGCGACACGCGTTTTTGACGACTTCCATGCTGCATACCCCCAACCTAGTCGTGATTCACAGACATAGCGCGTCGTCGAACAACTGCAGCATCCTCACAAAGTCGCGTGCCGACTCTTTGTAAACTCATGGGTATATCCTCCTCACTGCCACTCTCAGCCTCCTTCTCATTATCCTCTTTCCTATGAATTCGTCTCCTCGCATGGCCTGCACGGATTGTTTGCGTTCGCTGCAGTCCACTGGCCCGACTCTCGACTGTTGGAACCTCCTCTGCCGGGACACCGGTCGTGCGGCTATCAGCAGTCGGCACGCGAGACAGAGGCATCCGTGTCAAGTGCTTACGCTCGCGATAGTTGCTGAGGGTAGGAGTCTTCAGTAGACCGCTGCGGAAATCATTCACCCCAACAAGAATCTTAACAAGTTGTACAAGCTCTTCGAGATATTCGATGATCTCCATCTGTCCAGAAGTGCTCGCGTTCCACGAGAGAAATCGTTTCTGAGTGATCAAGTATGCGACTTGCGCAGCAAGCTCCCCATTCTCGTCAAAGACGCTTGATGGCTCCCCGGCAGGTGTTTGTGTGCCACTCCTGGACGCAAGAATCTCGCGCACATGGTTGACCAGGCGCAATTGCGCGAGCCGACTTGATGGGATGAACTGTGGCAGAGGCGTCCAAGTAATGAACGCTTCGTATACGGTAAAAAGTACCAGCATGATACTGGCAGCCACATTCCGTCGATAGGCGTGAACTTGAGGATTCAAGTCTTCTAAAATAGACGAACCATACTCTCTCCGTAGCATCACGACGTTTTCCATCCGATCGATAATCTGATGCAACACATAAAAAATCTCTTTGTAGACAGGCACGAGCGGTTTGAAGTCCCCCTTAAGACGCGGCTCAGTAACGCAGAATGGGAGAAACGTCTCGGCCGCAGCCAGAGCTCCTCGTGCTTTGTTTGTGGCACGACGGAAGCGTTTGTTGAGGTCAGGATTCCGAAAATTTGGCTTGATGGGCTCGTCCAAGCCAACAGCCATTGCAGCTTGCATATTCTGAACCTGTTTGACCGACGCTGCGAGCGACTCAACTAGTCGATCCCTGGCTCTAACTGGAAATAAAACAAGTTCAACCAACAGCGCAGTGGTACCCCCGATGACAAAAGCACACAATCGCTTATAGAAATAAGTATAAGCCGACTCGGCGCCGTTAATAGCAGCTATCTCTGTTAGTATGTTAAAGAATACCCAGATTCATAGCAACTTACAGAGCGCGACTACGACCATTGTAACTGTAGAGATCATGCCAGCCTTGACATATCTAGTGCCGAGCTGGACATAGAACGACGATGCGATACCAATAATCAGAAAGAAGCACATGGCAGTCAAACTGCTTCTCCCAATTATGGCAGATGCATAGCCAAAAGCGCTACCTGCCACAACACCGCAAAGACGGATGAAAAAGACGTGGAAGGACGTTCCTATGGCCACTTCGAAGACGAGAAATAGTTGCATTGGCCCCCAAATACCACGCACCGCCGAGTACCATCCCATAGTAGAGTCCACAAAAGCTGGCCAGCTGAGTAAGAGGATGGCGAGTGTGAGCTTGAAAGCATATTTGGTGTGCTCTGAGTCCTGAATCCATTCCAATGCATCGGCTGCCATTCCTCTAACCCTGAGGATCTTACTGATATGCTGAGGTTGCGGCTGTTCTTTCGCTTGCGTTTCTTCAACATTGCGGTTCTCTCTCGTCTGAAAAACTGGTTCTGCAAATCGAATACCTTTCTCTTCATCCTTGCCCTTCGGCGGCGTAGTTTTCGTATCTTTGTTGCTTTGGTGTGTTTTATTTTTCGACTTGTGTCCCGTTGTACTCTTTCCCCGACGAGCTTCTTTTCGAGCCGCTTCTGGTAGAACAAAAGCATCACTCTCACCACCAGTAATCAACCACTGCCTAATATCGACGTGCTTGGGGAACCAGATCGTGGCCCTGTCGTGTCGAGCTTGCCTCTGTTCGACTGTTTTTCGAACATGGCGTAGCATGTCCAAAACATACATAGCTGCCTGACGTAGACTAAGTACGAACGAAGAGATCAAAAACGTTTCCATTCGAGGCATAAAGTCCATACTATATCCACTTTTGTCCATGCCTGAACGACGAAGTTCCATAGAGCAGCTGGCATCAAAATTGGTAATTGCTTCCGTGAAAAGATCGATTCTAAAATCCAATTCTTGGAGATGAATTCCTCTTGGGGCCGGTGATCCTGAAGGCAGTCGTCGTACATCGTAGCAATAAGCGACACATACGATGACCAGACGTACAGCCTCCTTCAGCGAAGCCTCAAACTCCTGAACAGGCTCACGGATACGCTCAATGATGGATTCAAGAAGACTTGCGCTACTAGCTTCGATCTCCCTAAGAGGTTTGCTTTCTTCAACTCTCTGAAGGTAGTCATCAAAAGTGCTCATGCGCTTGATTCCACTGGGCCCGGTCATGTCGCTGTCGCTTTCCTCATCGGAATTGTCATTATTCTCCAACACTATGAATTTGTTTTCACATGCACCGATGATGGCCAGTGTGTTCTGGACGAGACTGCCCATATGGGAGGTACTCAGAGGCTTCATGCTGCTTAGAGGAAGGGCAGATATAGAGATCTCATAGTTGACTTCCTTCTGAGCAGCTTTGCAATGAGCGAGACGTGCGCGAAGACTCCCCCTTTTGCTTGCCAGACTTCTGATTGTCGTAAGCCCAACTGGAACAGTGGAAGCATGGTATCGATGCTGAGATTGTTTGAAAGGATTCGGAAACTGACTCAACCACTTGCGGAAACGACCTTTCTTGCGCTTTGGTTTCTCGGGGACACTCTTTACAGTGTTTGTCATTGTAAGAGCAATTGTAGTGGACTCTTCTTCAGAGTCAGCACCAGGTGTAATGAACCAATGTGTAGCCCGGGTTAGAGTATCCATTGTTTCGCAAAGAGCATCAATGGCAGATAGACCCAGGTAACTGCTCGAGAGCTCAGGAAATATTGACAGGTTGACCACAACTGAGATACCACCGCCGACCATCATAGGGTAGTAGGTGTGTGTAAATACTTCTAAGGACACTGAGGTGTAGCCTCCAAGCAGAGTAATGATACAGGCAATAAGATAAAAGGTGACAAATAAGAAGATACGGGGACTAGCCGATCTTATGTAGCCATGAAGGAAAGCAGCTATAGTAAAAAATATTGCGCAGATAGCATTCGCGGCTGCTGGGTTCGTTCCATAAACGTGACTGGACAGCCAGAGTGCGAATATGGACCAGGCGAGTCCGAATAAAGTACCCAGCAGCATCATGAGAAGGGTTTCGATCATGGTGCCTAACCTTTGACCTGGATGAGCAAAGACGGTGGCCATTGGTGCAAGAAAGGTCGAAGGGCCCAGGACTGCCATGGCTTCAGGAGTCATAACGGCGACGACCGAGCCGATACTAGCGATAGAGCATTTGATGATCTGTTTCCATAGATCGTTGGTCTCAGTGTCAACCCAGATGACTATTGCCAGCTCCCGAAGGCGTTTCGTGACAGTCTTCATGACGGGCGACTTAGCCATGACGGTAGTAAAGATATAGACTGGTGATTTGATGAATTCGTTGGAGCTCGATGAGAATCTTCAGTCATCCTCTCGTCTTGCGGATGGACGCTTCAAGATTCGTGTGAGCGCCAGATAAGAGAAGAAACAATCGAGCACGGCCAGCCATGCAGAAGGTGAAGATAAAAGAAGTTCAAATCGTCAATGCTTGATGATGTCTAATCATGCAATTCATGCCCAGCAGTAGGGGTCGGATTCCTTAATATCGTATCGCGTCTTGGGCTCCAAGGCTTGGCTACTCGTGGGTCATGAATGATTCGTGTCTGCAGGGGGACTATGTCATGTTGCTTTTTAAGTGTATTATATTAAGGCAATAAGAGTTTTCCAAGATGAGAGAGCAATCATATGAGTCGTGGGAATAAGTAATTGATGCAAAGTCATGGAAACACAGTGAAACAAAACGATGAGTGACGAAAACTTGGAAAGTGCCGGAGAAGGAACATCGGCATACGACGCTAAGGCAGGTGCGCACGCGATGTGCCGAGACCTCAATAACTTTCATTCCTTTTAGTAACAGTCAATGGCATTATGTTCAATACAATTGCCTCCTATAAGAAGTATACTGTAGTAGTATAGAGTCAACTTATGAGATTATCTATGTTAAAGAGTAAAATGACCGATCTAAAGTTCTATCAACGTTTTTGCGGGGGAGTAAACGGCCCATCTGCACCTCAGCCAAGCCTGGTTGTACAACACAAACAGGGGGTAAACGTGTGCTAGAAACCGGGGCATCTCCAGGGTCTCTTAGTGGCAGCCTTGCAGCTCTTCAGTGGCTTTGTCGCTAGGCGACTCAGCCAATCAACTTCAACCCTTGTGTTCCGCGACAGCCTCCTAACAACGTCGGCTTATCCATGCCACCATCTCTACCACAGCTCTCCTTTCTCAAACGACTCTCGTCTTGAGCATCAGCCTTGCCACTTCAAGATGCTTTCCTTTATCCTCATCCAGAACCGACAGTACGTTCCCCCCTATCGGCGCATTCTCTCCGATTAAAGTACTGACTACTTCTCAGGGGCAAGACTCGTCTCGCGAAATGGTACGCCCCTTTTAGCGACGAGCAAAAGATCAAGCTCAAAGGCGAAGTCCACCGCCTCGTCGCACCCCGCGATCAAAAATACCAATCCAACTTTGTCGAGTTCCGCAACAACAAGATCGTCTACCGCCGCTACGCCGGTCTTTTCTTCTGCGCCTGCGTCGACACGAACGATAACGAGCTCGCCTACCTCGAGGCCATTCACTTCTTCGTCGAGGTTCTCGATGCCTTTTTCGGAAACGTTTGCGAACTTGATCTTGTCTTCAACTTTTATAAGGTCTATGCGATCCTAGACGAGGTGTTTTTGGCGGGCGAGATTGAGGAGACGAGTAAACAAGTTGTGCTTACTCGGTTGGAGCATCTTGACAAGTTAGAATAAGGGTGACGCTGGGTTTCTGGCTGAAAGGCTGTGCGAATTGGTGGGATGTTTTGAAATACTGCTTCATCTGGCCGAAATCGTCATTTGCATATCATTAGGGCAGGCAGGAGTTGAGGCGTTTCGTGGAGGCATCCACAATATCAAGAATATACCATTATTGCTGCTTTCTCCTTTTTATCCCAATCTCCCGCTAGAAGAGCATTGACTTGCATATCCAAACGACACTTAATCGACTCATACGGTCAGATCGATCGGAGACGACCTCGTGCCTGATCCATTTAGGACCAAACTGGGATTACTACCCTCAGTGTCAAGCCTTGCTTTTTTCTGGGCCGGTTCTTCCCCATGTTCCCGTTTTATATCAAGCGACGCAGTCTCTGATGATTCGTCGCTCTCTGTATCTGCGGCAGTCTCTATACTCGGGAATTGGATATCCTTCGTCGGCCAGTTCTTAAGTGTAGATTTGATGTGCATATCCTTCGCATATTCATCAAACTCTCTGATTTGACGGCGGGTTTTGACCTTCGATTCTCAGTATAGGAACTTTCACACATGTTATCAACTTACGCTGTGATTGCGCCATGGAGGCACGGCTTTATCTGAGCCGGAGCGTGGTATGGGTTCTGGGTTCCTATGTCTGTTAGGATAATATTCATACCTGATGCTAGCCGAGCATCATACTTAAGTTTAAAGAACTGAGACTCTATTTCATGTCGTAAAGCATTTCTGTTCTCTCTCAACTGCTTTGTTTCTTGGCCCGACTCAGTGGGTTCTTTCATAGTTTTTGCCCATAAGATGATGGCTTCTTCAACCTTCAACCCCCAAGAGTCCACAAATGAAACCCATTGCTGGACAACTTGACTTTGAAGACGCTCTCCTATCGTAAAGTCTTGATGAATAAGCCATCTCATGTAAATGCTGCCCATTCTCTTAGTCGAGAACCTCTCAGATATAGCGTCAAACTTTTGCTCGAGCCGGCTCTGGGACACTTTGCTTAGTTGTGTCACGTCTCGCAGGTTGGTAAGACCAAGGGTATAGCGGAGGGTCGTGAGAAGGGCTCGACTTGATTCCATTGTTTTTATACACCGTGAAGGTTAGCGGGGAGAAGGTTGTACTTGAGAGGCTGAGTGAGTTGGATGAACACTGGTGGTCCTATACTTGTATGGATAGATAGAAAGCCTAAAAGCACTCTTTGGAACGTGATCGAAAGAAAGAAGAAATGGAAGAACCGTGGGGCTTACTAGAATAAATACTTCAGACAAGGTTGGAAAGCATAGTAGCTACTTGTGAGTGATTGAGTTCGTCTCCAAAGTCTACTGATGCATAATCATCATCTGCATCAAGCCTGGTTAACCTTTATTATAGCTGATTATGAAACAAACAACTTTTGCTTCCCGCCTCATTCACTGTCCTTTTCTTGAACACTCCAGCTCGCGGTCAGAGTAAGCGTTGTTAACTGGTCATCACTGACAACTAACCAACCTCTGTCTTTCATCTTTGCGTAAGGTACTCAGTTAGTCAAGGCTTTGTGTGTTACATCGAACTTTTGTCAGTGAATAGTGTAACACAAAGTCCATTGCTCACGACTCATCATCGATGTTCCTTGATATCATAACAGCCCACAGCGACATGACTCACTCTGACGAAGTTGAAGCGTGCCCTCGCTGAATAGACCTTTCATCCGCTCACTATCATACTCTTAAACACAATCCACAGGCTCACAATACATCTTCATTAACAAACAAACCCTAAAAACTCCACATTACGCAATCAACACTTCAACCAAAGCACCTCATCGCTTCTTCAGCGCCGCAAACCTTCTCTCCAAATCCCCAAGATCCGGAATCGACCCATCGGGCTCACCCTTCCTCGCCGCTGGTTCCGCCTTCTTACTCGGCTTCAACTCTACCGAACCAAGCGTGACCTTGGGATGTATATTGTCAGTCGTCATCCGCGGCGGTGTCACCGTCAGAGGGCTCGTGGGGCCGCCACCAGCTAGTTTCTTAACTGGCGTGTTTAACGCTGGATCTTTGGTATCTGCTGCCAGCGGTGTTTCGAGGACTTTTTGTTTCTGGCCGCCTTGTTCGTCGTCATCATCGTCGTCGTCGAGGAGTTCCGGGGGTGGCGAGACTGCTTCCCGCTTGGGCCAGTCTACTCCGTATGCCCTGGCGATTTCTTCCAGGTATCCCACTACAAGCTCCTCGCGAGGAGGCGTGACGCTGAGTTTCTTGACGACCTTCTCGTTGACCTTTCCATCTGAATTCTCCGTTGCTGCAAGGACATAGTCCTTTCCATACTTCTCCGCAAATAGCGTCCTCACTGTTGCCAACTCTTTGATCTCCGTCTTGGGCGCCGCATATATCAGACTCTGAATAGCCTCCCCCAGACCAGGATCAACAGTATGGCCCTCCATCAACCCAGCGCGAGCAAGTAGTAATTCGCAGTAGAGTTCGAGCATCTCGTGAAGCTCGGAGGTGATATCGGATCGAATGATGTTCTCGACGCGAATGCGGGCTGAGTCTTCCTTTCCGGCCTCGAGAAGCTGAGCCATGGCTCTTCGCGCGGTCTTTCCAAGCTGTTCATCGCGCTGCTGAACCATGCGCAGCCGCGCGATGGTAAGCTTAAGCTGAACTTTGAGCTTTGTCTATAAATTGAAAGCAAATGTTAGTTGATACTTCGACTGGCGCATCATGGCATTGGATGCGATAGCGGGGAAGCGGGGGGCAACGGACTATAAGACTAGCACCTGGCGCCATGATGAGCTCACGAGGAGTGATATAGCAAAAGTAAGTATATAGAGGACGGGTGAGAAAGACGCCTTGAGAGGAAGTGGGCGGCGGTATAAAGGTGAGATTGAGATACAAAGAATGTGGAAGGGTTTAAGTTGGGTACATTCAGCTGAGGTGCTGTAACTTCGCTGGAGTGTAGCCTGTCCTGCCTTGCGAACGCCCAGACGCTATGAGCTCATTGCTTGAAGCCTTAAGCCCCACTATAGCTTCATCCTCTACACCCGGATCAAGCCGAAGCTCAAGACTTCAGGCAACCTCAATTATTTATGCAAGTAAATGGAAGCCTGCAATGCAAAGTCTCGTAATAATGTTTAACTTGATGTACACCAATCCTTCCACCCATAAATATTTAGGTATACAGCTCGTCTCTATGTATCAGTAGGTAGTTCAGTCCAATTCCCAAGGCTATCTCATAGCTCCAGATGATCTCGAATAATAGAATCCTTCATCGCCATATAACGCCGTACCCTAATCCCAGAGAACCCAAATGAAGTCATGGTTGTACACTCCCTCTATCTACTAGGGATTTGCATCTCTACAAGCAAATGCATCTACTCCATATCGGCATCTTGTGCAACTGGTGCTACGCCATCAGTTGCCTCTCCCTTAAAGACTTCACCGCCTTCGTACGTGACCCTTCGCCATCCGCAAGCCTCCCTATCATCCTTGATCCATTCCATCGTGGGGAAGTAGTGATCATTCTTCTTCATCGTGATGACCCATGGCACACAGTCAAATGTGACTGCCTTGAGTCGGAAGTCTATATAATGTTAGCTTCCCTATCTTTGTAAATTTTCAATAAACCATGGCTGACTCACAAGTATTATCAGGGATTTCCCGGGTTGCAGCAATGAAAGAGTCGAGATCTGGTGTAGGAGTACCATTCACATGAGTGATGAAGTTGGTTGGAGCGACACCGTACTGATAGGCAGGTGATCCACGAATTCGACTAGAGACGTAAACCTCACTGTGCAGCTTGCTGATCTGTTGTCGAACAGCCTGGTGAGGCCTGTGAAGGATGGCACCACAGAAGGAAACAGCATGGTTAGTCTCCATATCATCTGCTGCTACTGTGGGAAGCTGTAGGTGCATCTCCTCACACTCTCGCACAATAACCGCGTCGAGCAACTCATGTGAGTACATCAAGTCAAAGTCAGAGATAGTAGTGCAAATCTTGCCGTTCAGCGTGAGAATGATATCCCCTTCGAGCAGGGATACCGGGTGGTTCTCGCGCTCAAACGTTCGCTTGCTGACCATGAACAGCTGATGATGAGATCGGTTGGCCTGGGTAACCTTCTTGATCCACTCATCTGAGACGCCCATAACGGATGCCTGAGCCATCTGGACTGATCTGAACTCGACGGACAAGATACGTAGCTTGGGGCTGATACCCTTCTGAATTGACTCTACGACAGGAAGTAGAGTCTTGGTGCCTAGACCGAGGTAGTACTCTTCGTCGCGTGACGTATGATGGGAACGCTCTCCCAGATACGACAGCCACAGAGCCTGGACAGTACCGTCTGGCGCGACAAGAACACCACTGTTGCATGTCGAACCGAGGTTGCTGTCAATCGTGATGGCATCAACATTAACAGCGCGATAGCGTGGAGCGCCCGAGTTGGCGGGAATGGCCACCGCAGTGATCTCAGTGACACTTGTAGATCCATGAACAACGCGTCCAATCCTATTGTAGCCGAGGAAATAGGTCTTGGCGCCTTGAGTGAGAACCTCATTGCTCAGACGAGCGCTCATGACTGGCGCATCGACGAGCGATGGGTCGTACTGAATAATGGCGTAGTTCTGAAGGGGGTGTAGGAAGACAACCTTGCCCTCGACAATGATGGAGTCAGCAATAGTGACAGTGATGTCGCAAAGATCGTAAGGGACGATAGCTCTGGAGATCAGAACGAGACCCTTATCTGCATCAATTACGAGACCCATGCCCCAACGGCGGTTCTTAGGGAAACCGTCGAGTTTCAGGGGCATAGTGCAGTTGATGTGGACAAAGCTGCGGATGAGGTCTGCAATGCCTTGGTGTGGCATATGGTCCAATTCAATGAAGGAGGCGGATCGTCGAGTGGGTGGAACAGGAGGTAATGGGTCTGCCAGGTCGGTGAAATCCCAAACGCCTGTTTCGTCGTTTCGAACAGCAAGCTTCATCTTGGCCGCCCAGTGCCGGTCAATGTAGGCAACGGTGGTGTTGAGAGTGTGAAGGTCACGAAGATGTTTGTAAGTGACAACAACTCGTGCTCGATCTGGGATTGCTTTCATTACTTGGATGAAAGTGTCCAGGTCTGGCACCTTTTTGTGGTCAATACTCTGGACAATCCAGCCATTATCGGTGTTATCAAATCGGAATGAGCCAGCCGATTCGCAAACGTAGACTCCCTTGACAGCGACAGCATAGAGTCTTGCCTGCTGGTAGGACAAATCGTGGAAGCTGGCGCCTGCCACTGAAACGAATCGGTCAGGGGTAATCCTATGAAGATCTCCGACCTCAATTTCGACCTCCACGTCCTGTCCACCACGCTGGAGGTGTAGCTTGATGGTGTTGCCAACGCTCGAATCCAGAATATCGTCCAATCGAATAAACTGGGTGATAAGTTCGCCGTTAACTTTGATCAAAACGTCACCTTCCTCGATCTTCTTGTCCGAAGGGCCCTGGGGGAGGACAATCTCAGCCACAAGCATGTTGGTCTCCTCCGGAAACTTCTCGCGCATGGCAGCCTCCCATTGAGGGCTCAATCCCAACCTTCTGCACTCGTCAAAAGGCTTGAGAAGGAACTGGCACTGAATATCGCCACGTGTGACAGGCTTGCCGTTCTGAATGCATTGCAGAGCACGCAGTGGTCGATCCAGTGGAAGGAAGTAATCTGTCGAGGCTCCATCAGAACGACCGCCAGCTTGAAGTGCGACAGCGCAGCCGTCCTTGTTCACCACAGGACTGCCAGAACTTCCTCCACTAGCAGCGGCGTTGGCCTGGTAGTAGCACGTGTTGAAATCACTATACCCCTCGCCATATTCCGGGGCATTTCGATCCAGGCGACTTATGATACCTGACAAGATACTAAGCTTTTCGCCAGCATCGTTGCCGACGACTCGAATCTCGGTTCCAACTATGCTAATTAGCAATGGTCCTCGGCCGTGATCGGAGGGGGTCCTTACCCTTTGCGAGGTCGGGTCGCAGCTCTAAGCCATCGATGTGCATATATTTGATCGCCTTTGGATCGTATCGCAGAATACCAAAATCGTGGACGGGATCGCGGTAGACGGGGTAACAGTCGACTTCTTCATGGTTGTCGAAGACACAGTGGCCCCAGAAGGGACCAGCGCCGACAACGTGACGGTTGGTCAAGATATATCTGCAGAGCTGATTAGATCCTTTTCTCGAGTATAATAAACAAACATTACACACCCTTTCTGGGAGTCAACAACATAACCAGTAGCCTCACTGGTCAAAGCAGAATCGGTATCGAAAGAGCAGGTCTGGCAGAACCTAATGGCGACAACGTTGCGCACCACCTTCTGGATGGTATCCTGCCACTCTCCCAAGCTCCCTGGTGTTCCAATATACATAGCATGTGGGTGAAGTTCGTCGGTCATGTCGGAGTGGTCGTCAAATTCAATAATGTCTGGTGTGTTATCGTTTGGGGAATGTTTTCCATTGATGGGTTTTTTGGAAGGAGGAGCTTCATCTGGCGAGCCCGGGGCCTTTCTTTTAGCCCGGGCTGAAGAAGTTGCGCCATTCATGACTGCTGATTTCTGTGATTTACGATGGGAACGCGACGACGATGCTGGTGAAGAAAAGCGGGAGTTCGGTCGTGGTTAAAGGGGATCGAAAGTTGACAACGTCACAGAGAGACAGGGATCGCAAACGGTGACGGGACTGAGACAACGGCGCGGTTAACGACAGGGAAACAGAGATGGAAAGAGGGGGCCAGTGATTAAGTAGAGATAGAAGAAAATCAAAGAATGCGTTGATAGGATTAAAAGGGTGAACTCATGAGGGCATGTGATGAACAAAACAGACCAGGCCCAGGCTGAGATGCGATGCAATCTGGGGAAAAATTTATGATGGCAGTAACTAAAACTAAAACTATTGCCTTGGCCTCGAAGTGATTGAGTGGATCAGCTGCAGCGGCGGGACTCTAACGTTACAGGGGAAATGATACCCTCGAAAGCCGCTAAAAGATGCAAGCGCCGTCATTCCCGCTGTGCCTGGGGTGCCCTTCAAGGTCTGACCCGGCCCACTGTGCATAACTCCGCCTTGTCCGTCCCGACAAGACAAAGTGGTTGTGGGTGTGGTCGAGTCGAGATGGTGTGCCACATAAAGACAATGGGGACGACAGATGACCAGTCAAATGGGGGGATGAGATGGTGGGTGATTGAGACTTTTGTACCTATTTTGTTCACCCAGACTATCAATTTCAAGCTTATGAGTCCTAGATCTTTATATAATGCAACACATCGCAAATGACACCTGACCTTGTAGTTCAATGAGGGTCGTATTTATATGAGACATGGGCTTACGATGACCTACAATATATCTCCTAGGCTATAGATGATATCTCGTATACAAAAGAGAATTTAAAATGTGAAGCAATGTGTTGACAAACAGAAAAAGACAACCATCGTCTCACTGTTCTCTTGCTCGAGTTTCTTCATGTCATACACATCTACTCAAATTACTGCTACTACCTTGCACATGCTGTCCTCCCTCATGTAACCAAACCTGCATCATCTATAAGGGTCGCTCCTCGATCCACGAGGCCTTGCCATGCATGCATATCCAAGACAACCCGCTGCCGTCCGAGACACGGAAATAAACGTGGAGGGTTCCCAACCCACGAGATCCTGTGCTATCCTATCATTGTTGCACTGCTTCCCGATCCAGGTGACCACCAACGTGTCTCGTGCGATCCTCTCTTGCATATGCATATCATACAAACATTCAGAGCCCCTCTCTTCGCCTTGACGGCCCGGACTCGAATAGTTCGTCGATCGTTGCTTGCTGCTTTTCTGGGGACATGCAACTCGGCCAGTGCACGAGATGTCCTCGCCGCTTCTTGACAAAAGAGCTGTACAGTATCCATGCAAAGAATACTGCTGTGACGCTGAGTGCTGTTGGGCTGTGGAACTGACTGGGTGACGAGAAAATGATGGTCGACGTGTATGAACACATCTCGAACACATTTTGCCAACTAGCTTCCACAGCAGAAAAGGCTCCTCGTTTCTCTGCCTCAACTTCCTGCAATGAATGGTCAGACAAGTTCCTCAACTTACACCACAACAGAACTCACCTCTTGAATAATGACTTGTGCAGAAAGATCGACACCCCAAAGTCCGATTCGACTCAGCATTGAACCACAGACAAGTCCCAGTGTTGATATCAAGACATTGTCAGCATATCGCCAGAAAATTGATACACCAACTGCTAAGCAGCCCAGTTCCCAGCTCAGGAACCATAGACCAGCACGAACTGGTCCAATCCTCTTCATTAACCACGGTCCAATCCAAGTGGCGAGAACCTCAAGAGTCACTGAGACTGTTCTCATTGCAGCAATTTGAGCTGAAGTATATCCACTCGCCAGCAAATATGTAACCATGACTCCGCCGAAAGACAAAACGGTACAGTAAAGAAGTGCTATTGAGAATGAGGGTGCAAATGCAGGATGTGTAAAGTAAAGTCGAAGATCACTGGACGTCTTCTGCATGGCCTTTTTGAATGATACCCAGGCATTCTGACGAGTCTGCTGCCCCTCGTTTTGTGGTACGATAGGAGGCGTGGTCTTTGGATGCTGCAGTTCAGGTACTTGATAATAGACCTGTATAGGTTAGAGGATATCACGTTTAGTTTGTATGTGTTGTATATGACTTACTTTGGCAATGGTAAAATACTCAACAACGACTGAAGTACAGTTCATTGCTAAGTTAACAAGAATCGCTGTTTCCGTGGAAACACCGTCAAGGATACCGATAAAGAAAGGTCCAAGGAGTTTACAAACAAGGTCAATTCGCCTCATTTGCGAGTTCATGGCTATAAGTATGTTAGAGACATAAACATGGCAGTTGAGGAGTAACATACTTCGAAGTGCAGTAGTATCTGAGCGAGCCACAACAATAACCCAATCTCTTTCCACAGACACGAGATTCATGATAGCGGCCAGTTTCTCAATGCAGGCCATGAAGATTAATGCTGCAAGCAAACCGACCCGCAGTTGATCTGAAAGACTTTGGCCTCTGCTGAGTATAAAATATATAGCGCATGAAGCAGCAACAACAAGTCGCTGTGAGACTACTCAAGTTAGGGTCATCCGTCATGAGGGCTTCTGATGACCTACCGATTGACAGTCTCACTGTATTAAGACGGTCTTTACGATCGATATAACTCCCGACCCATGACGACAATGTAATCGCGGAGGCGCCTCGCACTATCGAATATATAGCAAGGGGCATTAGAGTACCCGGAAATATTGAGGCGAGATATAGTACGCTTCCGAATTCAAAGACACGTGAGTTCCAGGTTGAGAGGGTATGAGAGATGTATAGTCTGCGCGCGCTTTGACCGAGCGTCCATTCGGGGTCGGTGCTGCTGATATCACTACTATCGCCTTCATTGTTGCTGTTTATTTGACTTAGTGATTGATACTGCGAATGAATGACGCCAGTTGACGCTGTTGGCGATGTTGCTAGTAAAGGTGCCGTTTCTTGGTCTCCGACACCGGTAGTTAAAGCCATGATCGTCAATTCCTCAATTCTTCAAATGCTAGCAAGCAATCACGTTGATACTGAACTAAGACACATTTGAGGAAACAAGCTAAGATTAAATATACGAGTAAGGTTTAGATGTAATCTACCGAATGAAGGTTGTTGAGGAACGGCCAATGGCCAATATTTCGCCTGATTCTTCCTTATCGGATTCTATAAATGCCGGCCCCATCAAGCTCTAGCACCCCCCCACAATCCGAGCCAGAGTCGGCTCCATCCCGATCGACTTCACCTAGAAAGGCAATATCTAAACAGATACCTTAATAGACACTTCTTTATTCTTACAACATTCATCGATGGAGACTTGCAATAACCTTATCTTAATACCACTAACAAGTCGATGTCGGCGTGGGAAAGGCATCGCGACATTCCAAGGTAGGGCTTCCTCAATCATCACAAGTCAAAGACCTCCAGTGATGTTTTGATGGTAGAGTATGTTCATCAGCTAATAATTAAACTAGCTTCTGTAGTCATCCATGTAGACTACCTAATATGATCATGCCTCACGTGTCCTGTTGGACGTCCAAAACTTGCCATAAGAGCCCTAGCAGATAGCAAAGATTGATTTGAGAGCAACCAGGCCATTCCTCTCCGGTTTGCCATGAATATCATCGATGACCGACACTTCCATTGCGAGAAGACGAAGCAAGATTCTAAACCTCTCCATGGGCATCTTCGTCGTCGTCCATCTCCTCATCCTTGACGATGGCCTCGCTAAGCTCTTTCTTGACGACCTTAGCATCGCTTTCAGGTGCCTCTGTTACTAGTGTTAGTGAAAGGCTTGATATGAGGAATAGGTATGATCGACTTACTAGGAGCTCGGCGTTTACGAGGGGTCACCTTGGAGGTTTCGAAGACATCGTCGTCATCGGAACCGACCTTTTTGGCCTTGGGACCCCGCTTGCGACCTAGATAAAAGGCGTTGTTAGTCTATTAGATTGTCGCGACTAGAAGGGGGGCATAAGGCTTACCAGGAGTAGCCTTCTTAGCAGGAGTAGCTGGGGCGCTGCCATCGGCGGCTTGGTTCTTGAAAGCCTCAATCTTTTTGTTGAAGAAAGTCCACTGGTTCTGAAGGCTTTTCACAGTGCGGCCCTCCATGTTGATCTCAGACCAGTTGATGGACTTGCCCTCGGGCTTCAGTTGGGCGATGATACGCAACAGAAGCTCATTCTGTTGTGGTGGTTAGACCCCTTGCAGATGGCTCGGGGATATGATCGGGACTTACCTTGGCTTCGTCAGTCCAGGCGTTGGGCTTCACAGCAGCGTCAGACATTGTGACAGTTGAGAATGCTGACGGTGATTTCTGGTGGACGATATGTAAGGCTGACTCTTGAAGATCAGCGATGAGATAAGGAGAAAGTTTGTTGATGTTGATGATGCACGAGAAAGATTCCTAAGCCCGTTAAAGAGTGTCCTTAAATATTAGAAATCCGAAGTAACGATGCATAACAGCGTTTGAATAGAAGAATAGAAAGTGTTGAAAGGTAGTAAACAAAAGGACACCCCCTCTCGAGACAATTGCAAAAGGCAAACGGCTCTCGCAAAAGATCGGACGAAACGGCCATTGCAGTGAACCACCCAACGCCCTCCGATTGCGGTCGAAGGATGACCAGCAAACGGATATGAGATAGGAACAATAAGAGGAATAATAACTAGAACTTACTTCGTGTGTTGTTTGTTCAATTGCCCTCTGCTGCGAGACTGACAGGGAAAAGCGCCTGTTGAAGGCTTGTTCGATAAGAATATGTGTTGCTGTTGAAGAAGACTACCGACATCGGGCAGAAAGATATGGAGGAGAGAAGGAGAGAAGGAGAGAGAAAGGCAGAAGACTTGGAGGATGGGAATGTTATAGCTCTCACGATCAGGGCAGCGAATCACGCACTCGTTCCCAGAACTCGACTCTCACGATCTGAAAGCCAGGTGCTAGCGCACTGCCGCCATGAAGCTGCCAGTGCCTGACACCGCCAACACGTTGAGAAGTGCCATCTCGTCTATTTCTATGGTTAACTCGTGCCATCATATACACGTCTTGGATTCCCGTCTCCAAAGACCAAATCGCTGATGCTAGTGAATCTCCAGTCTCGTCTGTTGCGAGAACGCCCTTGATGCAAATCGCCCAGCGGCCACTAATAATCAACGACAAAAACCAGTATCAAACGCAACGCAACGCAGCGTAATTGCTCGCTCCATGCACCACATGCTTGCATCGCGCCTGTTACCTCCCAGATCCAGAACCTCCTATCCTCGTAATCTTGTGGACTCCTGTAGAAACCCCGAAAATCACTCTGTATCGCGCGCGCTATATGTATCCTCTCCAGTGATCAATAGCTAAGTAGTTAGTCTTCTTGGTATCCCATGTTGACGATAAAAAGACATTAGACGAAATTCGACCCAATCCATAAACTGTCAACTCCACAAAACAAAACCAATCAATTACTTCATCTTCATTCGAAACGCCATGAATTCTCGGAATCGGTGCTCATGCTCCTCGCATGCGGCTGCCCAGCGTCGACGAACGTCCATATCCTGTTCGAGCCAGTTGTAGTACTCCTGAATGTCAGCATCACCCCGATTCTCCAAGAATGAATAACCCTTTTCTTCTCGGGTACGAGCGATGTGCGATTTCCGGGTAGCAAAATGGTCGACGACTTGGGCATTGAATGTGTCCCATTGCTTCAAGTAATGTTCAAAATCTTTGACATAGGTCTCCCAAGAAAGCGCGCTTGGCTTTACGCCGTTAACAGTGGCCGCAGCTGGGATTTGAGGAGCAGTAGGTGCTGCCGGAAAGATCAATGGGTGCACTTTGGGGAGCTTCATCGGAATCTGCGGCGCCGCTTTACTTTCAAACGGCAAGTTGTCCTTCAGATCGGAGAAAGACTTCAGGCCGGAACTCTGTTGAGAGAATGGGGCCACATTTCTGAGGTCTGCGAAGCTAGCTCGGAACTCTTCACTGTCTTCAGACCCCACGTTGTTTGGATTGAACGTCTTTCTGGGGCTCTCGGGTCTCTGCTCGTTACCATTGACGGTGTCCACATTGCCTGGTCGCCACTCGGGTCTGGTGGGTTCAACGTTGATGTTTCGGGCCGCATGAGGAACAGGCACCACTCCAGGGGCCTGGTTCGTTTCAACGGGTTGCTGAGGTTGGTTCACAGGCTGGGCAGGCTGTGGTGAAGGCGTGGTCTGAGCTGGCTGGGGTGAAGGTACCTTTGGGGGTCGAGGCGGCGGCATGGAAGACGGCGCAGGAGGAGTATCTATGTCCATAGCCTGGGGACTCTCGGCAGCAGGTGGCTCTTCTTGCACCTTTCGGCCACGCCATTCCAAAACCTCATCTTCACTGCTGCTGTCGTCCACAAGATTGGCATGGCTTGACTTTTTGGACGCCTTCGGCTTTCGTGAGTTCGTTCGGGTAGACCGTGTAGGGGACACAGACTTTGACGGCTGAGGAACAAATGTTTGGGGACCAAAGTCCCAACCTGCAGGGTTAAAGGCCGACTCGGGCTTAGCAGAGTCGGATCTCTCAGTATCAGACATGAAACTTGGTGTACTCTTGCCGCTCATCGGGGGACGCTTCCCCGGGGATCGGCGACCTGGCTTTCGGGGCATAGTTGGGCTGTCCTGTTCAGCTCCACCTGCATTAAACTCCCATCCAGTAGCATCTTCTTCGTCAGCAAAACTAGTGTTAATATCATCAGTGCTTCGTCGGGAGAATCGATGGTGGTCAGGTGATGTTCGCGCGAAAGTGTCATCATTGACAGGGAAACTAAAGCTGTTCGAGTAGACTTTGTTAGCACGATTCGGCATGCCGGAGTTTTTAGAGCTGCGGTCATTGAGCTTCGGCTTCTTAGCAGGGCTGTCGGGACTCGCGTTGTCGATGAGTTGTGATAAGAGCTCCAGTTGCTGGCGCTCAAAAGGAGTCAATCTATGCGGTGAATCCTGTCTACCACTAGGCGACGGCAGAGAAGGCTTGATAGGGATTTCATACGGGCAGTGATTCCCCAAGGAATCATACCCATGGTGACTACGACACTTGTTGGAGCTCTTGGGGATTGGGCGGCTAGATGTTGTAGAAAATGGGTTGCCATACATTGTTGGGCCACCAGGTGAATCAGTTGCTGTCTTATAGTTAGTAACAAGATTTTTGAATCGGCGAATTTCACTGACGCTTATCATTTACGGGAAACTCGGTAGCCTGTTGGTTAGGTCCCAGCGGAACACTCTTGAAACCACTCCGAGTTTTCTTTAATGGCGCCTTAGGCCGGTCTGCCGGATCCCTAGGTATCGAAGGTTGTTCAGGAACCTTGTTGTTCATAGGATCGTCCTCGGTCTTTCCACCCTTCGGTGCACTGGCGCTGCGCTGTCGGTTGAAGGCTTCATTTTCAGAGGCAGATTGATCTTGGCGAGTAGCTTCCCGAGTACTCTTAGCCCGGTTTATTGAGATGCCATCGAAAGGATTAGTCTTTTCGCCTCCTTGTGATGTATAAGGACTGCTTTGTCGGGGGTCCGCTGTACTGTCTCGATCTCTGAATTGACTTAACGGATCAGGCATCGCAGTTGGGGGAGGCCGTTGGGGAGTAGGAGGAGGTGCTTGTTGTGTGACGTCGGGGCCAAATCGCTGCGCATATCGTTCCGAAGCAGGTCTCGAGCTGTAGTTGCTACTTGATACAGGTGGTTCATCGCCCACTGTTGTCCGAGGATGGAAGCCCGTCTTTCTTGCACCAAACGAGGCCTCCTGACGCTGCCTGGCAGACTCAGTCCGTGGTGGCGGAGGTGGAGGGGGAGGTCGTGGTTGATCATTCGCCTTGGTCGATGCACCCTTTCGCATATTTTCAAATGCTCGGGCAGCATTCTTCTTCGATTCGGCATCTGATGCTGTATACTGCTTTGCAGTGGGAGGAACTCCCGTAGAAAAACGTTGCCATCTTTGTGCGCCCGATGGCGGAGCTCGAGGATTTGCATTGTTGCGTCGAGGAGGGGGCGGATACTGGGCGCTGACATTTGACCACGGGTTACCCTTAACACCCGAAGCTCCTGGGAATCTGCCGCGACCTCGCGAAGCATCGTGCTTGGCCTTCTGTTCAGGGTCGGAAAGAATCTCGTGCGCCGTCTGGATAATCTGGAACTGGGTGTTCACTTCTGCCTCTCGTCCAGGATTGCGATCTGGATGATACTTGAGAGCTGCATTTTGGGTTAGCGGCTGTAAGAAGGAGAAGAGCTTCGTCCATTTGTACCAAGTTTTCGATATTGTTTTCGAATTTCCGCGGCGTCTGCCGTCGGTGGCAGCTCTAAGTCTGCATAGTAGTCTCGGGGTGTACCCATCGCAATGGAAGGGACCCAGTGCGCTGGCAATTAGGTGCACGCAATCTCAAGATATGTACTTGTAGTCTAGAAGGGTTCGGGTATCAACAATCGAGTGCTTTGTGGATATGCATGAAGGCCGTCTTCGATATCGTTTGTGTCGAGTGGCGTTTCAGGTCTACGAGACTTGCAGTTGAAGTTCGAATTGGTCACTGTTGCACAACGGGGTACCGTACTCAAATGCTAGGGTACGTTCTCGATCGAGGTGCACGAATATGAAGGCGTACCTTGAAGGTTGATGTCAGCACGAATAATCACTAGAAAGTTGAGAAACAATCTATGAGGTTGAGCCAGGGCTATGAGGTCGGCCAGGGAGCGTAGGGCATGAAGGATATATCTGATCAGCCACGCATTATCGCAAGGATGGACCCGGGGCAAGGTGGCTGCCTCAGCTAACTGTGCCTCTTGACATGCGCAGCAACAGATGCGGATTGGTGGTACTGATTGGCATGCTGCTGATCCAAGGAAAAGGGAGACTTACCAAGATGACGTCAAATCTTGAACGTGAGGCTGCTGATCAAGGAGTGAATCTAGATGAGCAAAGATGATACTAAGTCTAGTCTAAAGAGGGGGACGAAAAGGTCAGTGAATGGAAGGGGAGGTGCGATGAAAGTGCTAAAAGAAAGAGGGAGGAGATCTGAGCTGGTGGTGATCGGAGAATAGGTACCTTTTTTGGATCTAGGCGGAGCTCAGGTGAATGTGAATGGGTCAAGTTGAAGGGTGATATACACTTGAACTACCTGGTTCACGAGGCCGCGTTGAATGGCTGTGGCTCAGCTCCAGGGTTCGCCTTTGATAGATCTCGAGGACCCTGAATTTCGCGGCAGATGTTTTGTAACGCCTCTTTTGAAGTGAATCTGCTACAAAACGATAATGGAATGCGGCAATGAATCTTGTTCCTGAATTTGGAACCTGTTGGCTTAGCTGAAGCAGATTCCTGTCAGAGTATCTTTCGGTTGCGCATATGTAGAAGAAAACAAAGATGTGGCGGGGTCTTATTTTGTTGCAGCAACCAATCCCCAGAACCCCACTACAAAGACTACAGCTGCTATTGTCTACAACTCCAACAATGAGCCATCATCCGAGGTAGTTGAGGTATATGATTGATATCACTATTTCAGTGTGAGTAGGTGTTTTATTAGATGGTCTCTCTGTCGAAACTATCTAGGATTAAGTTTTAACCGTTACTGGTGGTCAACCTTAAGGTGTCCATCTCAAGACGGCTTCAACTGGACGGACCCCCTAAACCCTTTGGTTACCTCAGTTATGCACCAGAACACAAACCCATCTTCATTTTCGCTCTGATTGTATCTGGAGGCCTTCTGGCACTGTTAGCACTGCGCTATTTGCTAGACATTCATTTCCTGATAATCTCCCGAGAACATCGCCACACGAGCCACGCAAGCACTGCCACATCTCGGACTATCAGCTTCACATGAGAGACTTGGCGGGTTGGCATAAGTCTGAAAAGTAATAAGACTGAAATTGAGAATATGTCCATAGTCATGGGAAGATTGCTAGAGTTACTTAAGATACCTCAAGATAGCTACAATCGGAGACTTTGATTGCGAGAAAGAAGAGCTGCTTGTGAATTGTATGTGCTTGTGATCAGCGGACGATAATTCATATGCAGCACAGCAGGGTTGGCTTACATGTTAACGAGCGTTGATGCAGATCTGACAAACCGTTATACAAGCATTTCAGGTTCTTGAGCTTGACACACCTGGTATACTTACAAACACATGTTTGTCAAAATATGAGTATAATAGAAGCAAAGGGCAAAACTTGTCAAAGAGGCACGCGACATATACGACCGTCAAAAGAACGGATACAATGCTTGGCCAACTTGTTATCTACAATATCATACTTCTTTCTATCATATCAATTCCCCTGAGCCGCCTTCTCAGCCGCAAGCTTAGCTTCCATCTTCCTTCGCGCCGCAAGAATCATCTCATCCCTTCTCCTCTGTAGCGAAGCTTGCCTCTCATCTCTGTTCGAGCTCCATCCCTTGCCCTTGGCGTCCTGCTCCTCCTGCGACGTAGTATCCAACTTATCCTTGAGGTTATACCGTGTGATGAGATCCGGCTGAGCTGGCTTATCAGGCTGTCGAGTCGCCGTCGCTGCGCTGCTGCTCGGTGTGGACTGGCCCGGAGGAGGTGGCGGTTGGAAAGTCACGGGGGGCTAAATGGTGATACTTGTCAGCAAGGAGCCTGGAAGGGCAATAGCACAGGTTCAGCATACCGTGTCCAGTCGTCCTGCTAGTATTCGCTCTGTCGTGCTCTGGATGTTTCCTCCGTTGCGCTGCAGATCCCATAGAATGCTCCGTCTATCCGCCTGCGGAAACATCTGCTGTATTCGCTCAACTGCAATCTCTCTTGACCGGAGGAAAGCTTCAGGGGATCGAGTGGGCTGAGGTGGCGACGGTCCTCCAAAGAACAGATATCGTATTATCAAGCCCGAGACGACCAGGATGGCCAATAAGTACGGCAATGAGATTTGGTCGTCCGCCATGATGTATGAGTCGCAATGAAGAGGCGGACGTTTCGAGGAGTTATAGGAGACTATACAGGTTCGACCGAGATAGGTGGCCGTCCAAGAAAGATGCCGAGATGACGATAAGTATGTACAGTTGTAGTCCCACGAGCTAGAGAGCTAAGGTCGCGTGGGTCAGTGGCATGTAATAAGCGTTATTCTTACGCCAGCGAGCCCACCTCAAAGGACGGGGCGCTAAACGGGAGATTCCAGCTCCGCCGACTGTTACGTCAAATTGCATGTGGGGAATCCTCGGCTAATCATGTTAATGACCGAACTTCATATGATAGATATCAAAATTAAATGATATGAATACTTTAAGTTCTTTTAAATGTTGGTTTCTTGGTCCTTGATTAGGTAGATTAATGGAAGTTAAACCATGACCTGTCGTTTAATGGGGCCGCGGCAATCTCATACATATCACAACATTCAAGTCAAACAGTTATTGCGCAGAACTGAAAAGCATCATTTATTGACACGACAGTCCGACATCCAGGCGATAAGCCAGCCCTCAGTGATGGAAGAGCGTTCATTCATAACCCAGGTCCGATCCCATCCCCACGAGAAACAGTTGCCCTGTCTTGATGCCGTAACGCCCCTTTATACGTTTCACACGTATCAGTCACCCATGCACACCTGTACCAAAGGAAATTCTCTCCAATCGCGGTGGTAAGTACTCCTCCTATCAAGGCACAACCTGCGCCTGGCCCAGCGTTGTATCTAGATCGCCATAGTGTAGAGTGAGCTCTTTCTGTGCGCTTGTTAGATGATATCATCCAAAACCCTCCCAGATGCACATACACGCTCTTTGCGCCAGGAGTTGGTGTCCCAAACGACGTAGTAGCCTCGCTCATGGTTAGGACTCAGTATTTGAGGGGTCATGTGCTCGTCTTTGGTTAACCAGATCTGGTGTTTCTTGTGCCACCTCCAGTTTCGTGAGTGCCTATCAAAGAATTAGTTGCTTTCAATACAATGATCAAATAAGTTATCGCCTACAGCTCAACTGCAGCCATTTGTTGCTTCACATCTGCTGTACAGCTGTAAAAGATCCAAAACAGAGTCTCTTCATTAAAGCTCTGAATTTTGCTCTCGATAGGTTGCACGTTTGTCACATTGTAACAATCTGGCAATCGAAACCTTCCATTGGAAAGGGCTGGTCGAGGAGGTGCGTCATCAAATAGCGAGTAAATCTGAGTCGAAAACAACCTGAGTAGCACGTTAGCACACTCCCATCACCAGTTTTGAGGGGACAAACTCTTGAGAATTGATGTCAAGTCCTAGCGAGTTGGGGTCCATTCCCACAACCATCGCATGGTAGTCAGGATAGTTGTTCATCAATGTGGTCAAGCCCTTGAGACCCCACTTGTCTGACGCAGGCATACCCTCTAGAGGGTCAATGACATCCGCAGTATCGAGTCTCTTTTGCATCGTTTGTGCAACATAATTCGTGGCGCTAAAGTCCGCGGTGTTATAATCCGCTGCGTTAGAAGCATCGTCTGGTACCGCATCGTCCTTAGACGACTTCTGTCGAGGCTCTTCCAGCCCAGGAGGTTTGCCGTCTTGCGGTCTTGAAGAGCCTGGGAAAGTAAGCATTTGAGAACGCAGGGAAGAGTGATAGAAACCGACCAGGGGCTCCAATACCAGGAGGTGACCTGGCCTCATTCGTCCGGCTGTTAGCCGACAATGCGTTCAGAAGACCATTCCCCCTATTGCTCGCTGTAGGTCCAGCGCCGGCTTGAGAGCCGAAGCCTAGGGATGACATCAAGCTCGCCGTCCGATCTGATCCCATCTCACCATTCGAGGTCTGATTCAGTGGTGGAAAGTCGTCAACGCTGCTTGATTGAGTTTGTTGTCCAATGTTGCCTTGGTTACCGAATCTGAACCCGCCTTGCCCTCTGGAAGAGGTGGGACTGAACATATCATCCTGGCCACCTTGCTGAGGGGTAGCTTGGTTGCGCTGACTGGGACCCCCCAGGTTTCGCGATCCAGCTGTCGACCACATAGACGACTGGTTGGGGTTCGACATCTGGGCGTTGTTCGATAATGATGGGAATTCGCTAGTCTGTATTAGCAAGCGCGTCATTTTGACTAGCTTCGATTCGAATAATTCAATACCTGCCCGGTATTGAAGCTCCGATGATGTGCGTCGCAGCCATATACGTACGATAGGTCGAGTGATGTTGCAGGTTGAGAGCCCGACAAGCTTTGTGCGAAGCTCACGTTTCCGCCAAGTTGACGTCCAGCGTTTTGGGGACCTGCTCCAGCCATGGGAACCCCTCCAAACGCCCAGCCAGAGTTGTTGTTCCCTATATTTGTCCCCCGGTATTAGCCTAAGGCCGTCTTCGATGCAACCCAGCCAAAACAACAGCGCGGAGATCGCAATCACTTCTGAAGCGCATACCTAGTTTTCCGTTCGGTAATCGATTCGTTCCTGCTCGTCCTGGTTGTTGGGGTTGCTGTTGACCTCCAAAGCCACCAGGCATCCCGCGGAGTGTCTGTGGCACTGCCCCTACGATTCGATGACATCGTCAGCGTTATCCTGCCAATGCTTGCTTGCTTGACCATCCAGCCTCTGCTCATGACAATTACTCCGACATCCCCCCAACCTGATCCTGATCCGCGTTTAGATCCATTGAAGCGATCGTGGCGACATCCGAACAAGGTCAATGAGGGTCGCGGAGGGGTTGAAAGCCGTCAAGGGAGTTCACAAGGCTTGTGAGTGTATATGCTGGCGCACAGCTCTCTCTCGCGTGATGATATGCCGGAAAAAAAACGAAAGATAACGAAGGTTTTGCAGATTTCGCTGGCAGCGCGGGGTCTGGGCTGCGAAGGAATAACGTCGTGGGGGGTGCGTCCTACCTGGCCTATTCATGATTGATTGTAGAGGTTTGTCGCGATCAACAAAGTGGATGTGCTGCTGGAATACAATGTTGTTAATTCGAAGTGTCGTAGCAAAAGGGTTCGTTCGGTGCGACGTCGATGCCTTTTTGTGCGGAGGTTGACAAAATGGTAGGGATGTTGTTTGTAGATGCGATCATTTGCTTCCAGAGCTGGCCTTATTCGCCTGGGGCTTTAGGTTTGCTACTGGTTGGAGAAGGGCTCAACTCACTGAGAGAAGGCTGGACATTGGAATGAGGTGGAATGGACGATGATCCGGGCGGGAATAAGTGGGGACGCTTCAACATCATGGCAAACATTACCAACAAACATCACCCATACACAACAACCTCTACAAACCAGACACTGTGATATGTCGAATGGTTATTCTAATATAGGTGATACTGACACATAGTCAACTGCCATTAATTGAACGGAGTTCAACTGCTTCAGTCTACACTCAGTAATCAGCAAGCACTAGATGAAAGAACTCAGACATCATAGAGTTATCATATACCTCTATTCTTGACTCTAATAAAATCCTAGCTTACGGCTTTTTTGAAACTGTCTTCAAATCCAACACCTGCTACATTTCTTCCAATCAAAATGATCTTCCCCTCCTTGGGCGTCTCATCTCCCAACGGCCCGTCATTTATCTCAAAGACCTCCCTCACCCCCTGCAACATCTTGACCTCTCCATTGGCAAACACAAGTCGTCCCTTTGAGCGATGAATCTCGAAATCACCATCCTTTTCATCTTCAGGTAATTTGTTGTCCCACAGTACTGATCGTAACCAACGATCAACTGTGTCCAGTTGTCCTGGTTCAAGGCGGCCAACAGGTATGGTGACGGTTGATATGGTCTGAGCGGTTAGCCACATAACCTCTTACAAATATCATATATCATCCGGGTACTTACAGGGTCGAGATGACTATGTCCCTTGGCATTTGCATCTGACTCATTGAATTGGTCATATGCGTGCAAATCAAGCAGGAATCCCTCCAGTTGGGGGACTACACTCCTCTCCGTTACATGGATCTTAGCAAGACCATTGATCGACTGGATTCTCTCCTTGACCTGGTTGAGTTCCGTCTCTGTCGCCATGTCGGCCTTGTTGATCACGATCACATCCGCATGAGAGATCTGAACGTGTGCTGTAGTCATGACAGGGCCATGGCCGTGGTTGTCGTGCCCTTCAACAACACCATTGGCGTCGTCAAGGCTGCGCAGGATGTTCTTCGCATCTACGAGCGTGACGATTCCATCCAAATAAATGGTGCTTCCAAGTCCGTCGTCCACCCAGAAGAGGGGTGCTAGGTTTCCGGGGTCGGCTAAACCGGTGGTTTCGAGAAGGATGTAATCAAATGCACCCTTCTTTGACATGAGAGACTCTATCGCATTGACTCCTGTATCCCTGAAAACAGTTAGTATGGTAGTGGGCGGGTGCCATAAATTCAAGACAGACTTCACAGAACAGCAGATACAGCCGTTGCCAACTTCTAACCACTCTTCAACCTGCTCACCACCCTTGTTCACAGTAAGAGACTTCTCAATGTCGATCGCTGCAGTACGACTTAGAAACGTAACGACAATCTCACACCTGAGTACTTACAGTCTCCAAACTCTATACCATGTTAGTAGCTATTTTCCAACAAGTCGTGGTCCATCCTAACCATTCATGATGACGGCGATCTTTTTGCCATGCTGAGCTGTGAGGATGTAATTTAGCAAAGTGGTTTTACCAGCACCAAGATATCCTATCAACTATTAGAGAACGAGATAAATAATGGCTAGTAGTAATACCTGTCACAATTGTGATAGGAACCTTGACTGTAATCTCCTCATCCACATCGTTGGTGGTTGTATCAACCAGCTCTGGCGGGGCATCGTCATCAAAATCCATGACTGTTACAGTTAACTTTTGGCCGTTTAATTCAGCCTTTTCTTTAAGTTCAAGAACGTCCTGGAAGAAATTCTACCGGCTAGTCGTTATCGTGATATTTTCGCCGACAGTTTAGACTCTTCTTGGTCAATGAGAAGCACTCACAAAATATCTTCTTGAAATCATGCATTCAGAAGTTTGGTGGTATAAGTTGCACGGTCCCCCTTAGCTGCATTCGACGGTCATTTCTCTGTTATGCATATACCGAATCCCCACCCTAGACCCCCTGGGGAGCTTAGCCCTGCCCAGCCACTTGCCAACCCAGCGCAGCCTTATGTGATATTAACCGCCCAGTTCTCCCCAGAGCGCCCAACATCGCGAGTTTTTATTAGCAGCGACTTCATATTTTGCCCGTCATGTCTTTAGCACCGAGTTCCCCTAGGCTTCCAAGCCCTCCGCCAGCTGCAGAGATTCAAATGGCACCCATGTCTCCGTCTGGCGGACCTGCAGCCAGTCTTCATACGACACCTCAAGAGCAATCGCAGCTTGAAGCGAGTTCTAGACGGCGGATACACCCAGGAACAAAAGCAGCAGATATGGCTGCTGGACCTCCTTTGATACCCCTACAGGAGGTATTTGCGCCGGTATCATTTAACGTCGAGAACTTGAAGCTAACACGAGCCAGCTCGATTCTGCATTTCAACTCCAGGAACACCTAGCCGCCCTCCACTGCTACCATACCTCCTCCAACACTCAACCAATCACCCGTAGCACCGCGCTACAGCTCGCGACACCTCCCAATGGCGTCGATCGGACCATCTGGCTCTATGAGCTCTGCCGCTTCCTCATTTCGCAGTGCAACTCCCTAATCGTTGGCTTCCTCTTCGACACCCCGCCATGCAGTGCGAACACGTGCCCCGAAATGCGCGCCTCCGAATGGCAGTTCCTCTGCGCTGTGCACGAACAGCCCAAGAGCTGCTGCGCCATCGACTACTGCTGTCACACCTTGGACTGGGCTGCCAACGTTGTGACCGACCAGAAGATCTTTCCCAGCCGCTTTGTCGTCCATAATGACAACCACAGTAAGAATGTGGGTGTCAAGAATCTCGTCAATGTATTCCGCAGGCTGCATCGCATATTCGCCCATGCCTGGTTCCAGCATCGTGGTGTGTTTTGGTCTGTCGAGGCCGAGACAGGACTATACGTTCTGTTCAAGACTGTATGCGACTTGTATGATCTGTTGCCCGCTGAGAACTACAAGTTGCCTCCTGAGGCGGAAGGACTTGAGGCACCTCATACTGAACAGGAGCCCGAGAAACCTCCTCCCACCATTCTCAAACCTTCATCTCATCAACGAGGCCCCCCTGCCGAAGAAGATAACATGCATCCAACAAGAACAAATACCCGGCGACACATTCGGAGTAGCCCTTCAACAGGAAGTGCTGTGACGACTGTCATCGAAGCTGAAGAGGAGGAGTCCGCTGGAATTTCCAGGAAATTAAAGGATATGCACCTAACCGCTCCCTCACCGGTGGAGGAGGAACCAGAAGTGGCCGATGTCCCTGTTATTGTTGAGCAATCAGTCATGGGAGAATCCGGAGCCCAGTCCCACAATACCCCAGCTGAGAAGGAAGAAGAAGAAGAAGAAGATGATGATGACGAAGAAATTGATGATGATGATGCCAACCAAACAGTTGTTGGATCTGTTTCAGAACAAGATTCTGCAAACGACGATGACACTCAAACGGACGAACATGAGCCAACCGCGGACTCCCTCGACTCAAAGCAATCTACAGATACGAGCGTTGCAGAGGGCGATTCGACAAAAGAGAAACCCTCAGCACCCTCAGAATCTGCAGCGGAGTCGACACCAGATGCGGATGCCCCTGAATCCTCGGAGGCCAAGGACAAATCCTCAGAGGATGCGACAGAGGCCGCAGAAACCACGTCAGAGGACGAAACCAAAAAGGATGAGAAGTAATAGACGGATAAAGTGCGATATCCATTTGATTTCATATCTTGTCTTTCAGGATATGGTAGTATAGCATGGCAGAGCTGCTTGCCCACTATATAATAATACAATTGACCCTCCTCGGTAGTCAATACATAACCAACTTGACGGTAGTACTGGCGCCGTCAAAATCTCCGTTGAAGCCCCTTATCCAATAACTCCTCCATATGTCAGCACTGTGGCTGTAAATGTATTTTATCTACCAACCCCCGTATAATGGTTCCTTGGTCTATTCCTGTGTAACTCCAAAACAAACCGCCAAATGTCTCCTCCACCATTGTCCGAAAAAAAAAAAAAAAAAAAAAAAAAAGA